GTCCCACTAGGAGAATGTCACTTACTACTATAAATACAGAACATTGAGCCATTATTCAGGTACGTTTTTCATTGTTCTCTAGCACATAGCCTCACGCACAAAATTCCCTTTCTGACTTAAGTATCGGAGGGGCGACGAGAACACACCTCGTTGCCTCTGTTTCAGGTACCGAAAGATCACGTTCGTGCTCCTCATCAGTTATCAAGCTCGGGAAATCTACAGGTACGATTTTTGGTAGCATCAAACATAATCATAAAGAGACAATATATATAGAAGAAAATCAATCATCCTCTATATCTATTCTAAGATTTTGATTGGTGTTTGTCACTTTTTTATTTCTGTCACTTTCAACTTCTAGTGCTATGTTCTATGTTTATTTAATAGAAGTGAACATAATCACAAAGAGACAATATGTAGGAAAAAATCAACCATCCTATGATCTATTATAATGTTTTGAGTGGTGTTTATCAAATTTTATCACTTTTTTTTATGTATTTCTGTTACTTAATTGAATTACTTCCATATTTAATGCAATAGAAACAAATATTATTTAATATTTTTGAAACATGTCTTTATTGTTAATTCATTTGAATTTCATTGAACTAGATTTAAAATAGTGGAGTAAAGTTCCTATCAAAGATTTTATTAAGTAAAATCAAGTTACATAATTTGTGACCTTTTTCATTAAAAAGTGACATAGCATGTTGTACAAATTTTTTACTAAATGTCACACACAATCAATTTCTAATAAAACAATATATCTTCGGACAAGATTTCAATTTTCTTATAAGAAATTTTTTTACGTGTTAATTTCTAATAAAACAATACATCTTAATTTGTTTTTGTGTTAAATGTGAATTAAGTTTTCACGAAACAAAAAATTGATATTATAAGTCTTTTAATAAAAATAATCTCACTTAACTTTACACAGTATTTTTTGCTTTCAAAACGCTTTTTGTGTGACTTTTCAATCCTTAATTTTAAGGTATTTTTGTAAGTTGTCTTTTAGAAAATGGAGACCAAATAGAAGTCGAGTTTTACAAAGGAAAAATTGACTCGAACCTTACAAATAAAGATTAGTTTTAAAAAAAATAAGAGGATTAAATTTTATTTCAAAATCAGGTGATAATTAGGTTTTAATAATTATAATTAATAAAAACTTTCACATTCCCAATTCATTTGCCAGAAATCATTCTCTCTCTCTCTCTCTCTCTACCCCGATTTCCCCACAGTTCTTCTTCTCCCTCAACTTCGTTCTCCTTAAAATTTTCCGTTTTGTATTTCTAGATTGTTAATCCCAAACTGACAACTTAGGTAGATAAAGGATGGATAATCGCGTGGCACAAGAACGGACTTTACACTCTTGCTCCGATGCACAATATGGGTATGAAGGAACTTTTTCACAAAAAGTTAATTATTGCAAGTAGAATTATAAATTTTGAGTTTCTAAAATCTTTAGGTTTTCAATTCTTGGGTCAATTTGAGAATTTGGTTGGTCGGAATTTCTAGAATTGAAGGAACCCATTTCGTCCCCAATCAGGGACGAACCCAGTCGTTTTGACTCGTTTTGAGTTGTGGGGTAAAAAATTAGAGTCGTACTACAGTACCCATATGAATGACCGCAGGGTTGACACAACATACACACACACATGAGGTTGAGATTATTTTATTAATGGGACCCTACTGGGCAAGTGAGGGCGCGGTCACTTGCGAGTTCATCCACACGGGTTGTGTTTAGCTCCAAAAATTAATGTGTAATTTTTTAAAATAATATAATAGTTATAAAAATAAGTTAATACGTATTTTGACATCTTGAAAGTGTCATTACCAATATTGTTAAATGAATTTTGCTACATGTATAATTTTGTTTATCATGTCATTTATGGATGTTGAGCTAACGACAAGTAAATCAAATTGGACGTAAGAAGTAAATGAAATTTAAGTTTAACAAAAAAATAATTTGAATGTAATTCAAATTACATTTAATCCGTAACGATTTTAGAATTTTTGACATCATATTTAATGTAAAATTTCCTAATAAAATGATGTAAATTATATTGAAAAATTTATCGTTAAAAAAATAATAAACATTAATGAAATAATTGATTTTTTTTCAAAAAAAAAAGACGAGTTAAACGTCTCTTTTAAAATGTAAGTTTAACGCATATTTAACTATTTTCGATATCTATTTCGACCATTTGATATAACTACGATGTAGTTTTCATAACGAACTTCTAGATGATGCAAGCGATTTGTAGATTTGGATAGTATATGATCATTGACAAATTTTAAATGTTAGTATATTATCAAACATTTCAAAATATTAATCTGGAATGGCCTACTTTAATACATCGTATCTTTTGCTATGGTCGATCATTTCGCACACCATTAAGAAGCGAAAAATTAGGCCATGAACGCTTAAAAATGATATTAAGAATGCAATATTTCGATTTCATTTGATATGTATTAAAGTGGGTCGAAAAGGGGTTAAAACAACCATTTTTTGAAAAAAAACAAAACAAAAAAAAACCAAAATTTTGTGGGGTCATCTGACCCCACATGACCCCATGTGGGTCCGCCTATGTCCCCAATCGTAGCAACTTTGATGATCTTCTCGCAGTAGAGGTGGTGTCGGTGATGCTGCTATCATCGCTGCTCGCGTAGCAGTGTTCGAACCAGTGACGAACCAGAGTTGTTGGTTCTGTTCTGTGACCAGATCATTGTTGCAGAGTAAGAAGGTTGCAATCGGAGTTTGTGGTGTCGGCGAACCTTTTCTAATTTGTAGGTGGTTTTTTTGTTGTCGAGATAGTTGTTTTTTGAACTTTGGTGATGATGGTTGGTGTTTGTTGAAGGTGCCAGTGGAAGTAATGATGATGGTGATTGTCGTGAATTCGAGGTGAAAGTAGACTTAAGTTGAAAGTGGTAGTAGTGTGCATTGGACTGGTGGTGGTGGTGGTGGTGGATTGTGGTGTTGGGCTTTGGTTATTTACAGATTTGTTCGTGGTGACTCTATGTGACCAATTATGTGTTTATTGTGATCGAGTGGGATCAATTCTGTCTTCATTGTTATTATATGTGACTAGATTTACAGTGAGTCATAAATTAGATTGATCTGGTCACATGCGGTCACACCAAATACAAATTTAGTCATAATTAGTTATAGATAACTCATGTCAGTGGCTTAGTTACATACAGTCACAAATTACACTCCCTTGGTCACAGACTGTTTGGTCACAATTAATCACAAATAACACAGGCATGGTCACAAATTATAAATTGGTTACATATAACACAATTAATCACAAATCTTGTCAACTACAATATAACACTACTGCCATCACACAGTATTCAAAACGTTGCCAACATTTCACCACCACCAAACAGATTAATTGCAATGCATTATCACTGCCACCACGCAGATCTATTTACAAGTCATATTTCATATGTCACAATGTGCATAGATTACAAATCCAATAGAACTAATCACATGTTATTGGTTAAAAAAAAAAAAAAAATTTCTGGAGCGATCGTTGGAGCCTATAATCATCTCTGGTGAAGAGGTGGAGGGAAGGTGGTATAATGGGATGAGGTTGAATGGAGTGGAAATAATTAATGTATATTATCCTATAATATAATATTTAATAAATATATTTACCACTTGATTTTTGAAATATTTCAGTGAATTTGTTATTTATGAAATGTAATTTTTAGAACTAGGACTTATGTGTTGATACTTTTACAATTGTTATCTATTTGAGCACGTTTAAATCTAGTTATCAAGGCCCATGGTCTAGATTGATAGTATTCACTAATTATGTGGTCCAAACCATTACGTGTTGGTGGTTTTTTTTTGCCTTTCTTTTTGTTTGTTTTTTTTTTTTTTTTTTTTTTTTTTTGTGGGGGGGGGGGGGGGGGGGGTTTTGATTTTTGGAATTGTATTGTCGAATTTTCAAATTACCTCGTTTGGCATCCATTTTGTAGAAATGAAAATGAGTAGACTAATTTTTATTTTTATTTTTTGAAAAATGAGTGATTGAAAAAGAAAGAAAAGTTTTCGATTTACGTGTAATATTATTTTATAGAAGATTGAATGGTTGAAAATAAGAGAGAGGAAAATAAAGTATGATGGAATGAAAATTAATGCGGCCATATGGGGCTACCACTGTTTTCTCCCGTTAACATTAACGTCTAATGTTACATTATAAAGCAAGTCATTAGTCCAAAATGGAAAAATATTTTAAAAAAAATTAAAACTTAACCGAACAAGCAACGTTTTAGCATTGACTTACCATTTAAAATGCTAATTGACCGTAGAATTGACCCAAACAAAAGCAGACACGCACAAGAATTACACGTTCCCGTCTCACTCCTAATCTTTGATAAATATTTAAAAAAATAAACACGTGTTTTTACAAATTAAAGCTTTTAGAAAAGAACATACAAAAGTTAAGATTCTTATCATTACTCGTTTAGAAACCAATGTCATTGGACTGGCCTGGCATGTCTACATTCAATCGGTAAAATTGGGAATCGAGTCCACAGCTTGATCAATTAGCTAATAAATCAATTTTTACACATACAGTTCAAAAAACCTGCCGACGTTCCCCTTTTTATGAAAATTGTCGACTTGTTTCTAGTTTCACAGATTTATATTTAGGAAAACTTCTCAAAAGTCGATACGAAAACTCATCGTTTAAGTTTTTGATAAATTCACTAAATTAGTTGTTTAAAAATCATCGAGTGAATTTCAATTCAACCCCATGATTTTTGACCGTTTTGCTTTTCCAATTCTACATCCCGATTGGTATCTAAAACATCGATAAAAATTTCATATGTATCAAATTTTTTAATAGAAAAAAATTTATAAATATATTAAAAATTAAATTTGAATAAATAAATATGTCTAATGAGCGAACCTCTAAGCTATCACACAACGCAAACGCGCATTGTCATTTACCAGTCTAAACTTATATTGGGTTCTTCCGCCTTGACCTTATTCTTGATAATTATTGGTACAAATTCATTTCATTTCTATCATTTTCAATATTTAGTTGTATTGTCCTATTTCTTTGATCCTTCCTTCCGCCTTTTGTTGATTCTTTCTTCCCACCGGTCCACCCGCACTACCACCACGAAAAATCTTCATATATATTCCCAATCATCATCCTTTATTTTTCATCTTTCCTTTTCTTGTGCTTTTTCAGGTATCCTTTTGAAAATCTTGGAATTATAAGCCTTATTTACGCTAAGATCTTTGAATTTTGTTGTGTTAATCGAAGAAATCGAGAAAACAATGGCGGAAGAGCATCGATTCCAGGCTCCTGAAAGCCATCGTCTGTGTTCGAATAATTGCGGGTTTTTTGGCAGTCTTGCTTCGGAAAATTTATGTTCCAAATGTTACAGGGACCTGTTTTTGAAGGAGAACCATAAAAAATCTGGCGATTCTCCTTTAATTTCCACGTCTTTGACGGCGGAGGCTGCTCCGAGGTCGCCACCGTCCACGTTGACGCACCCGTGTTCCTCGACGGTGTATAGGGAGTGTCCGGAGGTGGAATCGGTGGTGCAGCCCAACCGATGCTTCACTTGCAAGAAGAAGGTGGGATTGACGGGTTTTAAGTGTAGGTGTGGAATCACTTTCTGTGGGACCCACAGGTACCCGGAACAGCATGGGTGCAACTTTGATTTCAAGGCCATGGGAAGGGAAGCCATAGCCAAGGCCAATCCTTTGGTCAAAGCTGAGAAGTTGGTGAAGATATGACCGTAGCCGTCCGATTTAATGACTTTTCTTGTTGATGGATGGTGCAGATCGTTCAAGGAAGATGATGAGTAGATAATCATGGGGTGCTTTGTTGGGGGAACGTGTGAAGTTCATATGCATAATTTCTCTAATTTTTTTCTTAAATCTTATAAGTTATGCTGTCTTGGTTTGCTTGTAGAAATTTGTTGACAATTAAAAAAAGGAGCTTGCTAGGCGTACATAATGAGAGCCATAAAATGGACACCCGATGTCACCCCTCTCCAATAAGGGATTGCGGGGGTGCTGTTGGATGTCCCTTATGGCTCCCATTATGTACGAAGAGAATTATCCTTAAAAAATTGGTTTTGAGCTATGGCGCATATAGGTCAAAAAATGTGCATTCCTTTTTGTTTTGAGTTTTTAATTCCAGCCCCAAGAAAAGTAAAGATAATATTATAAATCAAAAATGAAAATTAAAAAAGATCTAACCTAGGACAAACCTAGTCCACTAACAGTCTCACACTTCATCTTGTTTGTGTCCCAAATCAAAACATTCGCAATTTGATAAAATCAATTGGATTGCACATTATCAAAATGAAGAGTAAGAGAGCAATCAAGATAGATTTACAAGTTTCGAGAGCTAAATCTAATATTTAAAAAAGTTCAAGGACTCAATTACAAACTTTTGAAGCTTGTATTGGATTAATTGTGGATGATGATCAATTTATAAAAAAATGATTAATTTCACAAACGGTCACTGAACTTACAGAAAAATTACAAAACAAGTATTAGGACGCTTTCAAAAATGGTCACTGAAATTTTAAAAATTTTGAGCTACTTTTGCGGCAATTTTTCTACTACTTCTGACCACCGATACCACCGAATTTTGATACCGTTAGAAAGCCTACAATGTCTTCTTCAATTACAACAAAAAAATCTCCCCCAAACTCCAAAGGATTTAGTCGGAATAAACCCACAAAGTTGGCTACTCGAAAAGACAAAAATCTGCCCAAATTTTCAGATTTTTTGTGGACTTTTGCGGCGATTTTTTGACAAATTTCGACCACCAAAATAGTCAAATTTTGATACCGTTGGAAATCCCACATTGTTCTCTTTAATTAGCATCCAAAATCTCCCCAAATTTTCAAAGGATTCGGCCGAAATAAACTCACAAAGTTGGCATCCCAGATTTTCGTCTTTTTGAGATGTTGATTGCGGGTTTATTCCAGGCGAATCCTTTGGAGTTTGGGGGAGATTTTGGATGGTAATTGAAGAGGACATTGTGGACTTTCGAACGGTATCAAAATCCGACGGTCTTGGTGGTCGAAAGTTGCTGGAAAATTGCTGTAAAAGTCGCCCCAAAATCTGAAAATCTCGACAGATTTTCAGATTTTTTGGGGCGACTTTTGCGGTGATTTTCCGGTCGAATTCCTTGGTGTTACTGAGAGATTTTGAGTGGTAATTAAAGAGGACGTTGTGAGCTTTCCAACGGTATCAAAATTCGATGGTATCGGTAGTTGGAAGTAGCGAAAAACTGCCGCAAATGTAACCAAAAAAACTAAAAAAATGTTTTTTAATTTCAGTGACTGTTTTAGAAACTTTTTAAACTTTAGTGACCGTTTTTTAAAGCATCCCAATACTTAAGTGACCGTTACTAAAAGTTTTAAACTTCAATGACCGTTTTATAATTTTTCTGTAAGTTCAGTGACCGTTTGTGAAATTAACCCTATAGAAAAATGATAAAGGACCCATATTGCAAATAAGGAAAGAACTCTAGTTGAACAAAAGGAGAAAGTCAAGGATCAAATTGCACTGAAGGATTTGCTTATTGCAATCACATGCGACAGCAAAGGCAAGAGATTTGTTTCCTGAAAGTTTAACTTCAACGCCATATATCACAACACTGATTAATTGCCTCTTTTCTTTTATTGCAGATAATCCAAGCCTAGTTTAGGAGGATGACTTAGTAAAGGACTAAGAGGATGTATTCTAATTTAATTCAACCACTATTTGAAATACGACTAGGCCACGAGTTTGACTTGGTTATGGGGCTATAAATACATTCTTTCATCCATCTTTCAAGGGGGGCATTGGACACGAAATTGATATACTTCTTACAAGTTTTATAGAAGTTCCTGTATAAAACACACATTCTACATCATAATTCATACATCCTTTCAGAGAGAGAGCTAGCATTAGCCATCCTATTGTCCCTCGTAGTGTTAAATTTGTAGATTCACATAATTTAAGCATCAAGCTACCAAAGAATTATAATTACATGATGCAAGTGAATATATTACTTTTTTCAAAATTAAAACACACAAAAAAAAGAAAGAAAGAAAGGAAATCCGACATATTGAATAAATTTGGCTTAATTGAACACCAACCTAAAAAATCACAAATTGTCTGATCTAGAGTAATAAAAACAATCCTATATTACAAAATACAAATGCTTTATAAGTGCCAATAGAAATCGACTTTTAATCTTATTCCGTGTACAAAATTAGTTGATATTTAGAGTTCATCGTTGGCCGATCTTGATTGCCTTGTAACTTGGCTGCAAAGTGTAGATGAGCTTAAGTTTTCTAACCAGACCTCGTCTGCAATAACTGCATTCGTCTCGTTGTTCCTATGCCACGACCATTGTGCATGCGTGATATTGTACACGCTCAACCGTCCATGTCCAAAGCTTGGCTCTCGATAGACTGAAATCGAGGGACTAGGGTCCTCAAAACTTCGACCACATTTACACAAATAGGTTAGAAGAAATTCTCAAGAAATTTTGAATTATATAATATATAACTGTCAAATCGTGAATTTAAATTATGTCTTCAACATTATCCCTCCAAACAAGTCAAATATAAACTTAACACGGTGACTTGAATGTAATTAGGTTTTTTGTCATGCTTTACATGCCCAGCCTTCGACTTAGGCAGCCCCGTGGGGCTCAGTCTTGGCTGCAGCAATTTTTGGGACTGTGTGCTAAAATTGTCTAAGCTTGAGTTTTGTGCACTTACTTCATAGCAAGCCCTTCTCTGTTTCCTCCATCACCAATGGTAATATAAACAGGACCGCATGAATCAGCATTGTTATCATAGACCCTAGTCTGCAACATGTGACAACATTGAAGTAATAATTTAAACCAAAAAAAAAAAAAAAAATCTTCCTTTTGAATCTAAAGTTTTTTATTGCACGATGAATTAACAAGGTAAAAAATGACTTACAAAGCGTTCATATGCGTGAACATGCCCGGCAAAGACCACGTCAACTCGTGCCTTGTACAACAACTCTTCCATGGCTTGCCTCATGCTTTCACCTTCCCCTCTATGAGCTTGATTAGAATTGTACCACGGCGCGTGTAGGAGCACAATGACCCAAGGAGTCTTCTTCCTGTCAACGTTCGCTAAATCAGCTTGAAGCCACTTGTACTGATCCGAATCAGAATCGAAATCCGTGTACGACCCGAGCATGATAATGTGGGTCCCAGCAACGTCGAATGAGTAATATAGATTCGATTTGGACCCACTCTCCTGGTGTGGCATGAGCCATCTTGCATTGTAGGCTTTGAAGCCACGAGGATAAATGATTGGGAAAGATTCAATTTCATGGTTTCCTTCTGTGACCATCCAAGGCCTAGTGCTGGCATATGGCTCGACCAGGCGCCCAAATGAGTCCCATAATGGCTGCTGAGAATCAGCATAGGAAAGATCACCAGGTAGAAGAAATACATCATAATCCTTTGAACCAACATGTTCTAAGGTTGATGCTGTCCATTCGGTTTGTCCTAGGTCTCCTGTATAATATAATTTTCCAAATTAATTAATTGGACCAATTACTTGTAATGCATGAAATGGTATTGTACTTTGCTTGCAAGACTGTGATCGGAACGTTGCTTGCAAGATTTAGATCAGTAGCAGAATTTACCAGCCTATAATCAAGAGTCAAAATGCACCTAACAAAAAAGTGTAATTTATACTTTCCCAAATGGAACACCGTAACCACCACCACCACTTACCTACAACAGCGAATTCAATCGGAAAAGTCGAAGGCGGAGTTCGGAAGCTGAACTCGGGGCCAGCGCCACCACATCTGTAGTAATAAGTAGTACTTGGCTCCAATGGTCCAATTTTAACATGATGAATTTCACCGGAGCTGTAAAAGAAGTAATGGTAAGAACTTCTTTCTCCGGCGGCTGATGATTCATATTTCCCCTGAGATTTTCCATATTCAACAGTGGATTTCACGTGCTTATCAGTGGTAATCCAAGAAACCCTCATATAATCATTCCCTGCCAATGAAACGTGTACCTAAAAATATAATCCATGTTTTCTAGTAAAAAACTTTGTCCATGTTTACATAACCATAAAATGCTAGAGAGTAGAGACAGAAAACAAAACCTGCTGAGGTTCGGAATCGGACCGGTTATGTGCTCTGAAAATGAGTTGCCGGGGACTTGGACGGGTATATTCCGCTGTGGCGCATAATTGTATGAGTAGAGGAAGGAAGAACATAACAAGGAGATTTGATGAGAAACCGTTTTCCATTTTCGAGCGAAAATATGTTCATAAAAAATCAGATTGTGTAATTATATGAGTACAGTATTTTTGTATGCGCGCATATATACAAAAATTCTGGAAAAAATGGGATGACAATGGCGTGAAGAAATTGAATTGAGACGCTTTAGATTGAGATTATATGCTACAGCTACGGCGACAACCAGTCACGTATGAAACATGGTACATAAATGTTCCATTTAACAGCTTTATTTTTTGGGATAATTGCAGCAGTGATCCCTAACCTTTTTACTTTTTGCAGACTTTACTTTAACCTTTATTTTGTGCCAACGAAGGTCCTTCATAAATATGTACCTGAGGTCCATCTAGAAGAAAACCGTCCAAAACACCATCAATTAACAGTGAAAATTCCTTGAACTATCTGCTACCGTGATAATTTTATTAGATGTTGATACCTTTTTGAACGGTATTTTTGGACAGCATTTTGGAAAGTTTTATTGGATATTGATTCCTTAGTTTTTCTGGTCAGCTGATGGTGTTTGGACGGTTTCCGTCCAAATGGATCTCCGGTGCATATTTATGAAAGATTAGGAAAATAAAGGGTAGGGTAAAGTCTATGAAAAAATGAAAAAGTTAGGAACCGTTGCTACAATTTTCCCTTATTTTATTTATTTATTATTATTTTTTTTTTATCAAACTTACTTTCAGTGTACACCAAATTACACAGCCTCACATGTGAGGGGGCCATACTGAATATTTTATTCGCGGGATCTCCCAATGTGAGAGGATTGCACATTTGTACATCACTATGTCCTATACCAATGGAACTTCCCTTTTTATTGGTTCAGCTTTTGTCCTTTTCAACTAGATAGGGACTTGCTAGCACAAAGGAGA